GAGACATCCTCGAAAAAATGAGATGCCGAAAGAGGTGTTTTAGAACCTCTTGTGTCAAAAATGACGTTTTCGCTCGGGACGTCCTCGGAAAATGAGCAGGTGGTCTGCCGTGCTCCCGTGTGGAGCACGGCAGACCACGGCCATTTCGCTCGAGACATCCTCAAAAAATCGAGGTGTGGTCTGCCGTGCTCCTGTGTGGCCTGCCGTGCTCCTGTGGTCTGCCGTGCTCCTCTCGGTTCCTACGCGCGGTCTGCCATGCTCCTGTGAGGAGCACGGCAGACCAAGACGAGGAGCACGGCAGACCAGGCACCAAGAGCGCCCTCAAGACGACGGAAAGGATGACCAAGACGAGGAGCACGGCAGACCAAGACGAGGAGCAGGGCAGACTATGCCCTAAGAGTGCCCTCAAGACGGCCGAACAACGGCAGACCCCATAGGAGCACGGCAGACCACAGAAGAGCACGGCTTGGCGGATGACGGGAAGCGTCTTCGAGGTACGAGAAGCAAGCGGGACGTTCTGGCTGAATCCTTGAGTAAATATATATATATATATATATCTTTATATCTATGGGTTGCTTTATCGCACGGGATTTTTCGTTGGCGGATTCCCCAAAATGGCCATTTCGCTCGAGACATCCTCGAACAATTGAGTTTTTTGGAGGCTATCGTTTCAGACGTCTTATGTCAAAAATGACGGTTTCGCTCGAGACATCCTCAAAAAATCGGGATGTTCAAAAATATCAAAATTTTTTGTTATGCACGAAAAATGAGCGTTTCGCTCGAGACATCCTCGAAAAAATGAGATGCCGACAGAGGTGTTTTAGAACCTCTTATGTCAAAAATGACGTTTTCGCTCGGGACGTCCTCAGAAAATGAGCAGGTGGTCTGCCGTGCTCCCGTGTGGGGCACGGCGGACTACGGCCATTTCGCTCGAGACATCCTTAAAAAATCGAGGTGTGGTCTGCCGTGCTCCTGTGTGGATGGCCTTGCTCCTGTGGTCTGCCGTGCTCCCCACAGAAGCACGGCAGACCGCGCGTAGGAACCGAGAGGAGCACGGCAGACCAAGACGAGGAGCACGGCAGACTAGGCTTAGGAACCGAGAGGAGCACGGCAGACCAAGACGAGGAGCACGGCAGACCAGGCACCAAGAGCGCCCTCAAGACGACGGAAAGGATGACCAAGACGAGGAGCACGGCAGACCAAGACGAGGAGCACGGCAGACTATGCTTTAAGAGTGCCCTCAAGACGGCCGAACAACGGCAGACCCCATAGGAGCACGGCAGACCACAGAAGAGCACGGCAGACCAACAGGAGCACGGCAGACCACACAAGAGCACGGCAGGCCACACAGGAGCACGGCAGACCACACAGGAGCACGGCAGACCACAAAGGAGCACGGCAGACCACACAGGAGCACGGCAGACGCCACAGGAGCACGGCGGAACCCACAGGAACACGGCAGACCACAGAGGGGAAGGCAGACCAACAGGAGCACGGCGGACCAGACAAGAGCACGGCAGGCCACACAGGAACACGGCAGAACACACAGGAGCACGGCAAAGCATTCAGGATCAGTGCAGGTCGCAGGGGCGCCGCGTATCACAGGAGCACACCAGACCAACACGGCCAATCAGCACTGCAATGCCAGGAGTATAGCAGAGCACAGGAGCACGGCTTAATTTTTTGACAGTGCGCAATGCCGTGGGTGCTCTGGATAGCCCTCGACGATTAAGGTCGCTCTCTCACGTGCTCTATGTTGTTTGCACATTTTGTATTGGGCTCAATGTGGTTGCACAGCTGCGGCAGGGTGTGCGCGGTGGAGGTGCTTCTATTAGCCCTGTGAGATCCAACTTTCTAGTAGGTGATCCTCGGGGCGATTCTTACCGATGTTTATTTTCGGCATGCTCCGACTGGCGTTGTATATGATTTTCTGTGGGTCTCTTGTTTGTCGAGCGCGTGCTGCTAAGACGATCAAGTATTGCAAAGGGTATCACAAGACCCGTCGTGGTGAGGAGCCCCCGAAGGCTCAGTCCGGTTATGACGGTTACTGCAAGTCTTGCTACAAGGAGAAGCATCCTACTCTGTACCGCCAGAAGCAGGAGAAGAGAAAGGGATGTTGTCGATTCTGCGGTGCGCAGCGCGAGCTCAGCGGTGGCATGTGTAAGCCGTGTTATCGGTCTCGCAGCTGCCCTGAGTGTACCTGGTGCAACGAGGAAGACGAACCAACGCTGTGCGTGGCCTGCGAGTCACGCGAGAAGAACCCGCAGGCCGCGGGAAAAAGATGTGCTATGGCGTGTCCGACGCACACTTCGCCTGAGGAACGCAATCTCAAGCTGTGCTCCGAGTGCTTTACATCTCGGAGCCCTTGTTCGCACTGCGCGGCGCCGACTCCTGCTGGTTCCTTGACTCGTTCGAAGTGTAGCAACGACTCTTGCGACGGGTTCGTGGTGTTCTGTAGCGCGTGCTCTGGCATGTCTAACGGGCTGTCGAAAGCGAAGTGCCACTCGTGCTGGGCCCAGGACGGTCGGTGCTGCGTGCACTGCGGTCGGATGCGAGCGCAAACTGGAGTGATATATCGGCGAGCTTGCAAGGCCTGTTTCGCTGCGCGCTCGTGCGCCGTCTGCCACGCCGTGCCGCCGGCGTCGCTGGAGACCCCGCAGTGCGAGATGTGCGACAACCTCGCTCTGTGGTGTCCTGAGTGCACCACACCAGAGCAGCGGGCGGCGGGCCTATGTAAAACACATTGGGATTCCCCCGAGTGCGCATTCTGTTACAGGACCGAGGACCCCGCCACCAAGGAACCGCTGCAGGTGTCCATGATCGAATGCGGAACAGAGAGCTGCACCAAAGTCGTGAGGAGCTGCTCTGTGTGCTCCTCGCATTTCCAGAAGAGCGCGGCGCTGTGCGACGTGTGCTGGAGGGCAGCTGGCTCCAAGTGCATCGGATGCGGTGTCAAACCAGCCCAGAACGCCAGGGTGTATCAGCACTTTTGCCACAAATGCTTCGGGGAGGAGAGGCTGGCAGACCTCGTCCGTGACGAGAGCAGGAAGTTCCTCGCCGACGAGCCGCGACCGCAGAGGCTCGACGACGACGTCGCCCGATCCGCACCCGCTTTGCAGGTACTCCTCGCTCTGGCAAAGCCCGAGCCCGGGTCCTTGCCGAAGTACGCGGAGACGCCCGAGTACCTGGACCCGAACCATTGCCGCTTCTGCAAGCAACCGTGGGGCGGCTCCGACGACGACGACAAGCGACGGCACCTGCTCGAGGAGTGCAGGCATGATCTCCATCAACGAGACGGCGAAGACATTCTCCAGACGTACCGGAGGACAGTGCTGGAACGGGCGCTCGCAGAGGGCCTGGACGCGGTCAGTCCGCAGGTGGGCAGGTTTTGTGTGGCGCAGTACAAGAATGCGCAGACGGACGAACGCTACGTCCATGATGCCTGTGCCGTCTGCTGTCGAAAGACGCCCAAGTGCGACTTGAATCGAGTTCACATCCCATCGTCGAGCAGCGACACGTGCCCGGAGTGGTTATCGTGGTCCGATGAGTTCTGGAATGAAAACAAGGAGACGTGGTACGAGCAGGTCGACAAGCTCCTCAGCATTGAACAGTACTTGAAAAAGTTCTACAAGGTGTCTGAGCGAGCCCAGGAAGCGCGAGAGAGCGTGGAGGCGCGCAGCCGCGGGGAGCCCCACGAGCTCGGGTTCACGAAGGTGGAGGACGCAAAGAACTGGGTGGACCGCGTGCGCCGTTGGGAAGACAATCTGAGGAGAGACATGCGGGAGCACTCCGTTGTCTCTCCAGGTGGCGCTCTCTCTCGTTGTCCCAGCTTCTGTTGTCGTTCGAACCTCTTCTGTCAAAAATGACGTTTTCCGCTCGGGACGTCCTCAGAAAATGAGCAGGTGGTCTGCAGACCATACAGGAGCACGCCAAACCACACAGGAGCAAGGCAGACCACACGTTCGCACGGCAAACACCACAGGAGCACGGCAGACACCAAAGAAGCACGGCAGTGGTGTTGCTGGTTTGGTCCCCTCGGGATACCGCATTGACGTGTTGCTGGTTTGCCCCCCCCAGCATACCTTCTTGACGTGTTGCTGGTTTGCCCCCTCAGGATGACTTCTTGGCGAGTGGCTGGTTTTGCCTCAGGGTAACTTATTCAAGTGTTGGTAGTGGACCACCTCAGCACCTTCTTGGCGTGTTGCTCGTTTGCCCCCCTCAGCATAACCTTTGACGTGTTGCAAGACCTGCCCCGTCAGGATACCTTCTTCACGTGTTGCTGGTTTGCCCCCCTCAGCATCTTTTGGACCTGTGGCTGGTTTGCCCCCTCAGGATAACTTCCTGACGTGTTGCTGGTTTGCCCCCCCCAGGATAACTTCTTGACGTGTTGCTGGTTTGCCCCCCAGGATAACTTCTTGACGTGTTGCTGGTTTGCCCCCCTCAGCACCTTCTTGACGTGTTGCTGGTTTGCCCCTTCGGGACAACATCTTGACGTGTTCCTGGTTTGCTCCCAAGGAGCAAGGCAGACCACACAGGAGCACGGCAGACCACTTTGCGATTTTTTGAGGATGTCTCGAGCGAAATGGCCGTGGTCTGCCGTGCTCCACACGTCAGCATGCCTCGTTGTCTCTCCAGGTGCGCTCTCTCTCGTTCTCGCAGCTTCTGTTGTCGTTAGAACCTCTTATGTCAAACATGACGTTTTTGCTCGGGACGTCCTCAGAAAATGAGCAGGTGGTCTGCCGTGCTCCCGTGTGGAGCACGGCAGACCACGGCCATTTCGCTCGAGACATCCTCAAAAAATCGCAAAGTGGTCTGCCGTGCTCCTGTGTGGTCTGCCTTGCTCCTGTGGTGTGCCGTGCTCCTGTGTGGTCTGCCGTGCTCCTGTGGTCTGTCGTGCTCCCCACAGGAGCGCGGCAGACCGCGCGCAGGAACCGAGAGGAGCACGGCAGACCAAGACGAGGAGCACGGCAGACCAGGCTGTTGTCTTGTGCGCACCCCAGGTGATCCGAATCATCGGTGGGTATTGTACAAGTCCGCAGTATGCACGGATGCGCCCGAGGGCAGCAGCGGAGATCTTCGCGTGAGCATGTGCAAGGAGTGCGCCGAAGCATTGTCGAACACGCACACAGACAGCCGCGGGCGGTGCCGCCCGCGCGTACGCATGCCCAGCGAGGCTCTCGCGAATGGCATGTGGCGTGGTCCTGACCCGGAAGAGCTGACGAACTTAACGTACACCGAGTGCAAGGTGATCAACCTGGCGAGGGTGTACGTCAGCGTGAAGCGCGTGTTGTTGGACAGGGCGTCTTTCGCCAGGACGAGTGCCGACGAGGCGCCGCGCTATCACCAGAAGAACGTTGTTGCGTACCCGCAGAGCCCGGACGCGGCTCTGACTGCCATCGGACTGTCGCCGATGGCCCTGGCGCACACTCTGATCGTCCAGTTCGTGGGAAGCCGCGCTGACGGTATCTGGCATCACCCTGACTTGCAAGTTTCCGTGGTGCGACTTCGAGCAGCATTTCGTTGGTTGTGCTCCAACAGCTGGAACCACATGGAAGCCACGCGACACCATGCCGCATGTGCGGATTCTGGCTTACTCCACGAGTCGATCGAGGAGTTGCTGGACGCGTACGCGACGAGCGTTGGTGGATCCTCGGGCGTTCCGCGCGAGCTCGTCGACTCGGCGACGTCGATCAGCGGCTCAAGAGCTTCGGTGCAATCTAAAGGACCAGCTGACTGCACGGAAGAAGGTGAACGCGACACGGAGGAGAACGGGCCCGAAGAGGCGGAGAACGCCGCCGTCGTCAACGGCGGTTTAGCAGACGTCGACTCCCTGCCGCTGTGGACACAGGTCATCAAAAACTTTAAGGCGGCACAGCGGTTTAAAGAGGAATTGGCCGCTCTAGACCCCGCCGACTTATCTGCTCGCGCCGAGAAGAAGAGAATGCATAATGTGGGCATGGCCCAGGCCATCGAAGACCTGGAGAAGCTGTCGAATGAGAAGATGCGAAAACGTTTGGAAGAGTGGGCGCGGTCGGAGACTGACGACAGAGCGCCCTTGAAGATCACGCACGAGACCACGTTCTTGTCTGCTCGCACGCCGAACTTTTGGGCGTCCTGCTTCGTTCGGCTGTTTCCTCGGGGAGATTGTCAGGAAACATGCCCAGAACGTAAAGCGGCGGATAGTACCGTATCGTTCTTGTCTTCCAATAAGTGGATCCAGTGCTTACTTCAACGAGCAGATTGTGATTACTGGCGGAAGGACCTGGAGTTCGTCGCATCCGTGGTCAACATCTTTATGCGTCGAGATCAGATGAGCAAGGTGGAAGCGTGCATGAGGGAAATGCCCGGCGGCGGCTTCATGGGCATAACTCCCGATGAGATGCAAAGGATGAACGAGATCACAGCGGAAGGTTTGGTTGCCGCCGCGATCGCGATGGGAGGTGATGCGAAGGGTATGAGCGATCTTCTGAGGAATAAAAAGTTGACCCAACCAGTCCGCACAGCCGCTGAAAAAATGCAGGCCGTGTCCCGGAAAGTGCGTGGATCTGCCGAAGAGCGGGACTCGTACAGGTGGAATTTCCGAGCTCTTCAGATAAACTCGGGCTGCTCGACTTTGTTCTTCACGCTGAATCCCCACGACATTCGCAGTCCGCTGACGGTGCTACTGGTGCAGGACGGCACGGAGATGCAGAGGCGATTCTCCCTGAACATGAGCGACAAGGAGGCGGAGGATTGGATGACAGAATTTCAAGCAGAGCACCCTCGTCTTCTCCACCGTCGCGTGGCGCAAGACCCTTACTATGCCCAGAAAGTTTTCCACTCGACCTCAAAGACGTGATGCGCTATATATTCAACTGCGCTGATGGACCCTCGCACCTGCCTCCGGATGGCATCGCGGCGAGCGAGGTGCCCGGTGTATTCGGGTACGTGCGCTCCTATCTCGGAGTTGTTGAGGAACAGATGCGGAAGGCGCTGCACATACACATGCTCGTGCAGATTCTTGGCTTCTCGCATCCCGACGATATCTTCAAGAAGAACTCTTTCCTCGACGAATTTAAGCGTCTCTACTACTATCACGCCTCAGTCATGTTCCGCAGCCAGGAAGCCGTAGCGCATCATTTCGCCGTTCCTGAGGCGATGAGAACCACCGCCGGGCTGCCGTTGTTCCCGGTGACTCTGAAGCAGCGGAGCATGATCGGCAGCGCTCGCGTTGAGGAGAGCAACCTCGCGCAGACCGTGGCGCGCGGACTCGACGTGCCGCCTGCTCTATCCAGGAGCGTGCCTGAGTATCCCTTCTTCGTTGGTTCGTATCACGGCGACGAGAACGTGTCCGGTAGCGACTGGGGCAGCCGCGCTGTTGTCGAGATTTTTTCAAGGAGTCGCAAGACGGGCAACCACGTGTGCAAGCCGTCCGTCTGTCACAAGGGGCGTCTCGGAAAGCGTGGTTTTTGCCGCATGTTCTATTGGCATCTCGTGAAGGTGGAGGACCCCAAGACGGGGCGCCTCGTCGCCAAACGACAGCATGGCTTGCAGCTGCATCCTCGATGGGATGGCGTTGGGCCTCCGCCGATTCTAGGGTATCCACACGTTGGGTTGCCGGCTCTGGAGACGACGCACCAGTGGCACTTCAAGCTGTCCTACCCGATCATGCTCGGCCCGCAGTGCAATCACGACATCCAAGTGCTCCCGCGGTTGTGCGCTCTGCAGAGCAGCAGCCCAGACGCCGTGCCCGATGAGGCAGAGGTTGCCACCGCGAGAGCGGGAATGATAGAGCAGCAGGCGGCGAATGAGTTTTACTGTTCGTCATACTCTAGCAAGTCCGCGCCGCACGCGGAGGGACTCGTGCTGACTCTTGCAGTCTCGCTCCATCAGAAAGAGCAAGACGCGAAGGAGGCTGCTGGCCGCGGCGACGAGCCTGAGAACGTGCACGAGAAGGCGAAGCGGATTCTCCACAGGCTGTTGTCGGCGACGAACAACAGGATGCACAAAGGGTTTCCAGAGATGCTCAGTTACCTGCTTGAGGAGCCCACCCTGTACTCTAGCCACGAGTTCGTTACCGTCTTGACGCCAGGCCTCAGCATGCTGATCTCGAAAAGGTTGAGCGAGGTCGCAACCGGTGCAGAGACGAGTGGACCCTCCACTGCCGCGCGTCCGTACTCTACGAAACTCTACCGAAGGCCGTTCCTGACGGAGTACGATTACCTCTACCGCCCCGACGAGCTGGAGGATTTCCCATTGTACTTCTTCTTCGCGGCTTGCGAAGCTCGGCAAGCTCGTCCTGACGGACATCGCCCCGTGAACACTCTGGCGTGGCACGTCGCGGCCGACGGTAAGCGTCAGTTCTCTGCAGAAAAGCTATACAGCCGGGAGCACGAAAAAGTGCCTCTGCGCGGAGATCCTTCGGAGCATCACCCCCTCGGGCCTGAGCTATACAAGTACGCGTACTACGTGACCGTCCGCTTGAGCATCGCGTGGCGGATACCTGTTCTTCGCGGATTTCTGCCTCCGTGCCCGGAGGCAAAGAAAGACGGAGATGACGAAGCTAAGAGATTAGAAGACGAGGTTAAGTACGCGGTGTACGTGCAACTGCTCTTTCGACCTTTCCGAACAGTGGAGGACGTGCTGCGTCGCGCCCCGCCCGCGCCGTGGACGCACATACCTGCGGAGTACTACGGCGCATTCGTGAATGAGTTCCAGGATTGGCGCAGCACTCAGGAGTCCATCGCTTCTCGAGCACGTAGTGATACGCCACCTCTCAGCAAGGAATGGTGGGCTTGTCGCGTGTGTGAATGCCTCAGGAAGTACGACCTCGTCGCAAAGCGCCACGTATCGGTTGTTGATCGTGTGCCGACAGGGGACGCTCTCCGTAGTTATCCCGACGCTGCTGCCGATATCGATGGCCCCGATGCGAGCAGGGCCGACGACGAGGAGATGTTGATGGAGTCCGATTCGGACGAGAGTCCCGGCGATGCTGCGATGGAGGACGATGCCCCCCGTGATGCGGCAGTTCCTCGCGCGTCGGGTCGCGAAGCAGATCCAGTCAGCCAGCTTTGCGGAACCGTGGACATTGACTTCAACGAACTGGTCAACTCGGAAACTCTGGCGAAAAGCAGATCCAACGAGGCAAAATATCTCCGTGGCTTTATCGAAGAGGAAAAGAAGTGCGTTTCCAGGCGCACAGCTGCCGCTGACGGCGACGGTGCGTTCCAAGAGTGCTCGTTGTCAGCACGAAAGTCGCTCATCGTCTCTGACATGCAGCAGAAATTTTTCAAGATCGTCAACGAGGGCGAGGATAATGTCGAGATGGTCAGGAAAGTCGAGAAGACGAAGTCAGATGTGCTACAGCAACGCATCGACGCGGCGATGGCGAGTATTCCCGTAGCATTTGAGCGCAAGGTGCCCTTGTTGGCCCGTAAGTCATCGACGTCTGTTGTAGAGGCTGCGCTGTTCTTGTTGAGCCAAAAGGTTCTCGACATCCCTGATGTGGGCGGTATCAACGTGAAGCAGGCGCGGGCGCTTCTGTGGAATGCGTTGTGGCTGCAAGACGTGATGAATCGGGAATGGTCCCTGGACGACCCGTCCGGATCGCAGTGCTCTTCGAGCTCCTCTTTGGCGGACGGCTTTCAGCTCGCGCTCATGGGCCCTGGCGGCACCGGTAAAACTGCGGTGCTCCGGGTTACGGAGGCATTGGTCTCTCATTTTTTGGGAGCCGAATCCGTGCGAAAGTGTGCTCCATCCAACTCGGCGGCCCGGCTCATCGGCGGCGACACCATACACGCTGTGTGTAAGCTCCCGTTCGGGAACATTTCTGTCAGGGACCGGAAAGCCCGTTTGAGCGTTGCTGCGCTGGAGAAGCACAGACAACGCTGGAAGAAAGCTCGCGCGTGCTTCATTGACGAAGTCTCCATGGTCTCCAGTGACCAGCTCCATGCCTCCGAGGTCCGCATCAGGGAAGCGAAGGATGACAGGAAACCCTTCGGGGGCCTCGGTATGATTCTTTCTGGAGACTTTTTGCAGTTGCCCCCCGTGGATCCAGGAGACGCGCAGAAGAGTTTGGCGACTCCTCTGAAGGAGACTGGCGCCCTGGACGCGGCCCCTGAGAACCCCGACGCAAAGGGCCAGGACGTGAAGCGCAAGAAGATCGCCGATGCCGCTCAGGGGGTTCAGCTGTGGCAACGGGTACGGCATGTCGCGTGCCTCGACGTGAACATTCGCGCCCCGGGTAAGCTCAGCAAGTTACTCGCGGAGATGCGAGACGGCAAGGGTATCTCTGACGAGTGTTGGCAGATGTACCAGGATCGCATCATGGAGCGCAACGACCAGAGACTTTCCGAGGGGAGTTCTCCTTTCAGTAAATACGAGTGGCAGTTCATTGTTCATCGCCACAAGATCCGCGTGCATCGCTCGCTCGTGAACGCCAAGGCAGCTACGTCCTGTGGGCATAAGCCGCTATACATCGCACAGGCCAGGGATGAGGCGGTGCATTCGAAAGATGATCGCAAAATGCCACACGTCAGGGAAGAGCTTTTGCGCAGAGCGTCGCCCCGAGACACTCAAAGCTTGCCAGGCATACTTCCACTGTACGTCGGGATGCGGTTGACGTTCCAGGAGAAGGACGGGGTGTACTGGAAATGATCCCTGTCCGTGTTCCTTCCTTCTCCTTCTCTCCAGCGGCCTCGTCTTTTTCCGCTCCTTGCACCCTCGTACGGGGGAGGCAGCAGGGGCACGGCAGACCGCAGGAGCACGGCAGTCCACAGGAGCATTATGCGGCAGCCGTCCTGCGGTGGCATGCTGTGTTTCTGTGGTTTGTCATGTTTGTCTTCCGAAGGGGTTAGTAACACGTGAATAAGTTATTCCGAAGGGGCAAACCAGCAACACGTCAAGAAGGTGCTGAGGGGGGCAAACCAGCAACACGTCAAGAAGTTATCCTGGGGGGCAAACCAGCAACACGTCAAGAGGTTATCCTGGGGGGGGCAAACCAGCAACACGTGAAGGAGTTATCCTGAGGGGGCAAACCAGCAACACGTCCAAACAATGCTGAGGGGGGGCAAACCAGCAACACGTGAAGAAGTTATCCTGACGGGGCAAACCAGCAACACGTCAAAGGTTATCCTGAGTGGGCCACGAGCAACACGCCAAGAAGGTGCTGAGGTGGTCGACCACCAACACCTCAATAAGTTACCCTGAGGCAAAACCAGCCACTCGCCAAGAAGTCATCCTGAGGGGGCAAACCAGCAACACGACAAGAAGGTGCTGAGGGGACAAACCAGCAACACCTCAAGAAGTTATCCTGGGGGGGGCAAACCAGCAACACGTCAATGCGGTATCCCGAGGGGACCAAACCAGCAACACGTCAAGATGTGCTGAGGGGGCAAACCAGCAACACGTGAAGAAGTTATCCTGGGGGGTACACCAGCAACACGTCAAGAAGTTATCCCAGGGGCAAACCAGCCACACGTCAAGAGGTTACCCTGAGGGGGGGGGGGCAAACCAGCAACACGCCAAGAAGAGCTGAGGCGGCAAACCAGCAACACGTCAAGAAGTTATCCTGAGGGGCAAACCAGCAACACGTCAAGAAAATGCTGACCGGCACATTACAAAAGGAGCACGGCAGACCACACAGGAGCACGGCAGACTGCACAGGAGCACGGCAGACTCCACAGGAGCAAAGCAGACCACACAGGAGCCCAGTAGACCCAAAAGAAGCACGGATGACCCCAAAGGAGCACAGCAGACCCCAAAGGAACACGGCAGACCTCAAAGGAGCACGGCAGACTACGCAGGAGCACGGCAGACCCCACAGGAGCACGGCAGACCACAGACGGAGCACGGCAGACCACACAGGAGCACGGCAGACCACACAGGAGCACGGCAGACTCCACGAAGCAAAGCAGACCACACCGGAGCCCAGTAAACCATAAAGGAGCACGGAAGACCCCAAAGGAGCACGGAGGACCCCATAGGAAGACGGCAGACCACAGGAGCACGGCAGACCACACAGGAGCACGGCAGATCACACAGGAGCACGGCAGACCACACAGGAGCACGGCAGACACACAGGAGCACGACAGACCACAGGAGCACGGCAGACCACACAGGAGCACGGCAGACCCCACGGGAGCACGGCAGACCCCACAGGTGCACGGCAGACCACAGAAGCACGGCAGACACCACAGGAGTTGGCGTCTGCCGTGTTCATCTTGTCTTTTCAGTACCCGTGAGGACTGTCCGCGCCTCGGCATTATGAAAGGATGCGTGTGCACAGTTCGGCACATAGTTTTCTCGGAGAGCGAGACATTTCCAAAGCCGAACGAGGAGGATAATGTGGTCCACTTGCGCTGCATGCCAGTATCGTTGTGGCTGCAGGCGGCGGATGTCTCGTGGACGTTGGACGAGTCACACTTCCCAGACGACATGCCAGTCACGACGGACCGCAAAGGATTGTTTCAGCTCCGACCCACGTGTGCGTATCTAAGCGCGACTTGGGAGGAGGAGACATTCAGCGTACGCCGTGCCACTTTCAAAGTTCTCCCCGCCGACACTATCATCGTCTACGGCGCACAGGGCGGCACGTTCGACGCGGCGATAGTGGACATGAAGAAGCCGCCGACAATGGATGCGGACACCCACTGGCTTGCCTGTTACGTTATGTTGTCGCGGCCGAGATCGTTAGAGGGTCTGCTTATTCTTCGTCCCGCCGAGAAACACGAGCTGGAAAGGCCGCCGCCTGCTTTCCTTACACGAGAGTTGGAGAGGCTGAAGGACCTGGAGGACTCAAGCCGTTCCAAACGTATTTGAAGTTTTAGTTTTTCTTATAAAAAACGGTATTAGCCACCAATAGCAATCCATATCGTGCACACACTTCCAACACCCTCCCCCGTGTGGCTCGCTGACAGGAGTGTGCTTTGGGCGAGCTCATCCAACGTATGAAGAACATGAACGACCTCCACATTCCTGACAGCATCCGCGCCGAGATCTGGAACAGCGTGTTGGCAAGGAACGGTGGCCCAAAGCAGGCGGCGGCAGTCGCCGCGGCGAGAGCGAAACGTCCGGAAGCCGCCTGTTCGCAGCAAGTGTCAACAGGCACAGGTGTGCACGATGCTTCTGACGACGAGCCTGCAGGACCACCTGCGCGTGCCGAGGGAACTCGGAGACGCCTCCGCGCAAAGACTGCGGTGGGCCCTGGCAACTCTTATTCTGGCGAACTTTATCCACCCGCTAAGAGTGCACGGACGGATAAGATGGCAAGGGTCGTCGACGACGGAGGCGCTGCCGGGAGACCAGCTAAGAGCGCCAGGGTGTGCCCCCCAAGATCTACGCCGCGCCCGGCTCTCGACGAGGGACGCAAGGCTGCCGCGGAGAGTATGAGAAAGCCGCGCCTCCACATGTGCACAGAATACACGCATGTCTGCGCGATTGACAAAGAGTTTGGATGTCGCTCGTGTTCCCGCATGTGTCACACAGATTGCACAAGTGTTCTCTGCCAAGATAAACCTTGTGAATTCTGCCTCAGTTTCGGCGAGATCGTTGCTGCCGGTTCCCCTGAGTGCTCAGGATTTCAGAGGCGCAATGGCTGCCATTACTGTGGTCGACATCGGTGCTGGAACTTCTCTCCGACGTGCCTCGGCAGCCGCGACGATTCCGTCAACGCACAGAGTGCCGGGTTCGCCTCTGCAGACTCCTCACTTGCCCCCCCGGGCACGTGTTTGCAGTACAGCCACCGCTGCTGCGAAGACCGTGACGACGGATGTCAAAGCTGTATGAAGACTTGCCACCGCGACAACACTAGCCCCCTATGTCCTTATTTCGGTCGAGACCGCGGACAGCTCGCGTGGACACCGAACGCGGATGACATGCTCGACACGCAAAGGTTTCTTCGCGATCTTCGAGGTCGGAGGAGGCATCGTACGCAATTTCAGTGGCAACGCGAAGGCAGAGATGCTGAGGGACGTCGGATTGTGCACATCCCTGGAGAAGGTTATCATTACTTGGGTGTCGCTGATGGCCATGACTGCAACTGCTTCGTGTACTCCTTAGAGCAGTGTGTGGAAATCGCAGCGGACGTGGACGCTGTCAGGACAAGCTTGCAGGTGGAATTCCCGCGCGTGTGCGGGGTCGGTTGCTCTCCCACCGCTGATGCCTGCACGGGCAATTGCATGAAAGTCTACCCGCGGAACTATTTGAGTACAGATCACTGGTCCGCCGTGCTACGGAGCATCGGGCAACATGCGCGTGCAGGGCCTCAGAATGTCGATGAGTCTCATTACTGTCTGCGCGTGATAGACCTCGCTTACGACGGAAGCGGCGTCGTTCTCGGGAACCCATCTGCACCTGGACGGATCACCGTTGCCAGAGAGAATCGCAACCATTTTGTACCTGTGTTACCTTACCCTCACAATACTGAAAACGGGCGCTGGTTGCCCTGGTGACCGGATAGCGCGATTGCGATGTGGGCTGGATTACACAAGAGCACGGCAGACCACTGGAGCACAACAGACATGCGTACATACATACATACATACATACATACATACACACATACATATGCGTGTGTATAAGAGGGCGGACAGCCGCCATTTTACCAGGCCAGCCCCGTGCGTCTTATCCAGACGACGGCACAGCTGGGTGTTGCCACTTCTCATTCGCGCTTTTTTCTCGGCGAGCGGGGTGGCGACACAGTGGCCGCGACGGATCAATTGGACCTGGGGGGCAGGGGCGGGTAAGAGGGGCCCCTCGGGTCACACACGCACATAAACAAACAACCAACAAACCAACGCACACAAACACACACACACACACACACACACACACGCACACACGCACACACACAAACACTCTCTCACACACACAGACACACACACACATACACACACACATACATACACACACACATGCACGTGTGTGAAACAAGCGGCAATGACGAATGGAATTCGTTGTTGTCGCGCACCCCTTTTGTCCCGTGTTGCCTGCGTCGAGGGAAGCGAGACCATCTGGTGGTGGCGATTAGGGGCCGCGCGGCCGCTGCCTTTTTCTTGCGCCCCTGGGGGCGGCGGCATGCACCCCCCCAGGAACCGAGGGAATGGCGAGGAAGGAAAAGGGGGGAGGACATGGGGGAGGAAACAAACGGAGGAAGAAGGGATCCCTCGCTCGAGGCCGCGGGCGGGCGCCCACGGCGAGCGGCACGCCGCGCTGCGGCGTGGAGTTCAAGTGCATTATTCCCTGCATTTTTGAGATATGGGGGAGGAGGGGAAGAGGAAGAAGAGGAGAAGGAGGAGGACGAGGAAGAAGAGGAGGAAAAGGAAGAGGAGGGGGACGTGGCGACACCATTTCGACGTGGCGATAAAGTGGCCGCTAACCCCAGACATCGGGTGTCTCGACAAAACCAGACGACAATGTTTCATAATTTTCGGCCTCCGGGACGTAGTTTCACGCGTGGGGCCTCGGGACCGTTCAAAAAAGATTCGGGATATCGGGGCGCCTGATGTGTGGGGAGTGCAGGGGGCCATATATATATATACAAATATATATCTACATCTATATATATATATATATATATATATGGCCTGCTGCGGCCGCCCCACCGCGGGCTCACGGACTCTTTCACACTGTTTCACCACTCTGTTTCACCACCCTGT